GTCTCCAGCGGAATACCTTTATGTGTCATTGTTGCAAATTTCATTGCCAGTCATCAAATTCCAAAGGCAAAAATGTAAATCAAGGACCCCCCTTTAGATGCAACTCATCTTCCTCGTAGCTAGCAGAAGCACGGTGTAAATGAGGCAACCAGTATGTGAACATAGGCCTAATTCATACTTTATTTATTTATGTGATTAAAATTATGTAGTTGCCTATTTCACAAGCTGTCTCTCAGCAGCATACAATGAAACAGTTAAAAACAAAGCTAAAACAACAATTGAAAACAAACACAAAAACAAATAAGACTATGGAGAATGAATTAGCATTCTGTGTTCAATGGAACCATCTCATGGGCTTCAAATTTCCATGGGATCCTCAGGCCTGCTTGAAAAACCATGTTTTAAGGCTTGCCTCTTCAGTCCCATCAGATAACATTCTTTAGCAGAAGTGATCCCTAATATTCTCCTCCTGCTAGACCTGATGGGATGGGTAGATGTAATTGGGAAGAGGTGGTCCCTCAAATAACCTGCCCCCATGCTATGTCAAAAGCAGGATCTTAAAGAATCAAAAAGCAAGCCGGCAACCAATGCAGCTTGCAGAAATGTAACATGTATTGTTCTAGTAACACTCATAACTGCCAGTACTGCTGCATTAGAATCAAAGGTTCTAGATGCTCTTCAAGGGCAGCCACATATAAAGTGTGTCCCAGTAGTCTACTCTTGAGATCATCAGGGCATGAGTAACTGTGAGTAGGGCCTCATGAACCAGAAATGGATGCAACTGGCCCACCACACATATATAGTATAAATGTGGAAGAACTGAAATTTTGTTGACCCAAAGTTGGCTTGGCATATGATTTTGCTCCGTTTTTTAAGAGTAGAGTGCAATATCCATTCTAAAAGTCATCCTACTAACAATGCCATAAGTTGACACTGTAATGAAATTTTCTGTAGATAGCCAAGCCACGTGCTATTAAAGCATTCTTCCCTGCTGATACACTACCCAGTGGAACTTTGAACTGATGTAAACCTCAACAAGACAATTATAGTCAAGTTTGGAATGTGATGCAGAATAAATTCAGCCCAAAGGGGCAGAGAACAAGCTAGAATTTTTGTTTAAAAAAAAATACTTATATCCCCCCCCCCACCTTCTTGATGATTCAGATTCTCCAAGCTGCTCTAAAGGCGAAATGAACTGGCCCTTGAAATAGTGTTCTGCTTGAAAATTAATAGTGGCTTAGAGTAATCAATTACAGTCGCAATTTGTCTCATACTTTTTTCCTGGCAATTCTTTTAGACTCCAAACATATGGCAATGACATCCACAAACTAATTATAATTTAACTGATTTGTGAATGGCTGCCAAAGTCACTAGAAATAAGGCAATGTTTAAGCAAACAAGAGCTCTTTTTTTGGCAATGATATATACAGTGTATGTGTGTGTGTGTTGTTTTCTTAAATGCCAGCTTGAAATGTGCCTTTGACTTTTATAACTGCAAGTATCACAAAATGTGGAGAGGCAAGTCATCCAGGAGATTCTTGTGGTTTTCAAAGATAGTGCTACAGCAATACCAGAATGTGAAACCTAGTTTGTGAAGCTGAATTCTAGATAAGGGATGAGATAATAGTAATAATAATAATAAAGTTGGAAGAGACCTTGGAGGTCATCTGTAGAATAGTCTCTGCTGTGTAGCTTGAGCTGCTCGACTTGATTGGCAGACTGACATTTGCTATCTTCTCATTTGTTCAAATCCTTCTTAAAAAATGGTACCCAAAACTGGACACAATCCTTGAAGTAAGATCTGATCCATGCAGAGAAAGTGAAACTATGACTTCCTTTGATTTAGAAATGATACTTCTGCTGATGCAGCCTAAAACTGTAGTTGATCTTTTGCAATCACATAAAAAATTAAAAGTTGTCATGTATGTAGCTTTCAGAAACCCATTTTCTCCATAATTGTTGATGTTTTCAATCAGGCCAACGGAATCAGAAAGGAGCAAATGAGTGTCATTTTTAAAAAGAAAAGAATAGATACAAAGCTGTTCATTTTTCTCCCATTTTTTAATTTTGTGTATTCTGTTTCCCTTAGTAAAAATGGAAGCATTTGCCAAGACGTTTAAGTTCTGATCCTTAAAATCTATATATCCATCTCTTCTTTGGTTTCCTAGATTTCAACACTTCTTGCTCAATGTCAGCCTTGTGGGGTAGTCCAGACAAGAAGCTCACTCAGGAGTACTAGTTCTTATCTTTATTGTAAGGTTACATTAAGAGAATCTTGCAAGTCTGAAAATACATCTATCCCCCATTTCTTTTACAGTCCAAGCAACTAGGGAGAGTCCCTCCTGAGATGTTTGCCATGCCCCCCATCCCTTCTGCAGACTCAGCTGCCACATGTCTGACCTTGGTCTAGTCCAGAGGTCTCCAAACTTGGCAAATTTAAGATTTGCTGACTTCAACTCCCAGAATTCCCTAGCCAGACACTCTATGGGTCTTCCTTCTGTCTCCCAAAGTCATTCCTATATGTCATTACACCACATGTCAAGCATTCCCATTCAGCCAGGACAGACAAAAATCTGCTTATTGAAGTGAAAGATAAGATTTTCTGCATCCATCCTCAGCTCTGGCCTTAGCACTACTGTGTTTGAAGGATTAACAATCCTTAGAAAACACCAAAAGTTCATTTCAGCCAATTTACCCAATGTTGATTACAGATGGCTTCTGAAGCCATGAAAAGGAATTTCACTGGAGAGGGCCTCTGCATTTGTGAGAGAATACACAGATAGAAATGTGTGTAGGATCTGGTCAAGAGGTCAAGAAAGCAGACAAGACAGTACAACTGAAGCTCCACCTTCTCTTATGTAGGTCATATAGCTGGAGTTTAGATGTACAGCCATGGCTGCCAGTGTTTTTAAAAATCAACTTTAAGGACACCCCTATACCACAGGTTTTGCTTTGTTTTTCATGACATTGTACCTCATTGCCCATTTAGTTGTTACTTCACAACCTACACCAGCTCTAGGTGTTTTTCCTATTAGCACAGAATAACTTGGAAGGGAGACACAGAAGACTCCACTGTTATTTATAAAAGTTATTTATTCTGCATCAAATTCATTAATCAGATAATTCACAGCAGTGCGGGGGATATTTCTTTCTGTTCTTTTTCCCAGTCTCCTTTTAATTTTTTTTCTCTTGCTTTTGTTTTATGATAATGCGGTGTAACTGGCAATTTAGAGTAAATTAACAGTGTCAGTGGGAAAGAGAAAGGTGTGATGCTGTATGATGCAGAATTCTCCATCCTGCAGTGTTGTTGCTGCTTTTAAATGAACACCAAACAAATATCTCAAACATGGATCTAAATATTTGAAGTGTATGCTTTAACATATTCCAGAATGTTGGCTCTTAAGCCAGTCAGGGAACAAGACCAAAACATAATCAAATGCAAGTCCGTCATTTGAATAATGACAGTGGCAGAAGGTCCAAACTAATGCCAGGGAAAAAGTCACATGTATTGCATTACCTTCTCCTAATGTATAATAAATTACAATTATATCCTTTCCATTTTTACAGGGACACAAATTGAAATGCATTTTTTTTCTTTCCATTTACTCTAAAATAACAGTCCCTAATTTTTTTCCCTTTGTGCAGATCTCTGTACCATTACAAAAGCTTTGGTGCATGAAACATTCCCAGCTATCGACTATTACAAGATCCCCAAATTAAATAAAAATGAATTTTAAAAATACTTAGTTAAAATGTTGCAAGGCTGCTGAATTGCTTGGTTTGTCCCACTGAAATTCCATGGGAAACTATGTAAGATGAACTGATCCTCTCAATTTGGGGCCATTTTCGTTGAACTTTACATTTTGGCATCTGCACCAGAAATCATGTGTAATACTTTTAGGAAACACCAAAGGTGTGTGGACCACACACTGGGAAACCCTGTCCTAAAATCTCCTGGACTGACAGACTGAGAGATAGCAACACAGCCTAAAGTCATTTGGTGATGGGTTTCATGGATGATTGTGGATTTGAACTTGCATAGATTCTGGGGGAGAATCCATTTGTATAGCGCCAAGCTATAAATTGGGACATCATGGGTTACAAAGCCAGATGGAGGGACTGGGAGAGCAAACTCTGTTCCCTTTTGGCATTGAAGATGTTACCTTGTCCCAGAACAACCAACCTCAAAGAACACCAAGGACCCCACAGTTCAACCCTGAGCTACACAGATTCTCTTCTGTTGGGTGACCTTGGGCCAGTCCTCTCTCTCAGCCCTGGGAAGAAGGCAGTGGTAAGCCACTTCTGAAAATCTTGCCAAAAAAATTGCAGAGACTAATCTAAGCAGTTCCCGAGAGTCAACACTGACTCAAAGGGCAAAAATATAAACACTGCCAGCGTAAAAAAGAAATGTTCCATGAAGCTAAGGACACGTTGTCACTTGTTATCATAGCCAAGATTCTGATTGAATCATCTCAAGGTTGGGTTTAGTTGCTTGGATGGACCCAATAAAAAAAAATATCAAAGGCTCATAGCAATATTTGTGTGTGTTTTTATATATTTGTTCACATTTCTTGAGAGGTAGGTGTTCTAATGAACTTTACCTTCTTTGTATATTTTTCACAATCAGTTTTTCTGTAAAGAAGAAATACTAATTGGGTTAAATTGTTGCCATCTTTACTATACACCAATGTCTTAGGCTTAACTGTATCCCCAAGTCAGCAACCTGAAGCCAACAGGCCACCCACTCTTTGCTTCCATTTTTGGTGTCCAGAACAATTCCAGATCACACTGTTGAAACTGAATAGCAAAACGACTGATTTTCAACAACATTTTTTTTTTGTTTGCCCCCCTGCTAACATAACAGACTAAATGGATTGAAGTAATAACACACTTCTTAGAACAGAAAGTAGTGGAAAGGTCTAATGAGCAGGGAAGAAAGAAATGCACCATACTTTCTGATTGTTTTCTTTTAATGTAATATTTCTCATTCCTTTTTTAAGAGTCCACTTATCGTCATCAAGCCACCATTGATGATGAAGTTGTTTCCATGGAAATACTAGATACAGCTGGGCAGGTAAGAACACTGCTGATCTCTGTAGCAAAATGCCAATGCCAGAAAACTATAATTAACACGAGAGGAAAGTCGTCAAGTATTTATGGGTGGAATATTATAAGTGAAATTTTATTAAAGGGACAAAGGAGAATAATAAAAAAATAGTAGGCCAACTGTGAGAGAGTACGAAAGGGAAGCTTCATATTCCTGGTAGTTTTAGTGTTTCTTACAATAGCAGAAATCTCAACTATTGTAGAAAAATGTGGGCTAGGACAGTTTTAGGAAACATTATTATGGGATGTTTCACTCCATAGAATCTAAAGATTCCACCCTGACTCGCTGCAGTTGAGAGTAAGCCCCACCAAGTCCAGGGGGACTGATTTATATATGATTGACTTGGGAGGTCCTATATGAATAAATAAAATGAGGAAGGGATTTTCAAAAGCAGGAATACAAAACAAAGCTAAAATTGCATTCCTGGTCTATACAGAGTAGATCTAAGTATTGAACTTTAGTCTTTAGACTTTAGTCTTCCAATCAAAATAATATTTTTCAACTTGCATATAATGCTAATACTATTCTTGAACTAGTATTGTGTCTCGTTTCAGAAATCACATTTTTTTAAAAAAAATATAAATTAGAATTGGTTCAGAGAAAAAAAATGATAAAGAAAGCTGGGGATGGAGCCTTCCTTCCTTCCTTCCTTCCTTCCTTCCTTCCTTCCTTCCTTCCTTCCTCCCTCCCTCCCTCCCTCCCTCCCTCCCTCCCTCCCTCCTTCCCAGATTTATCTAATGTCATTTCCTTCCTTCCTTCTTCTCCCCCCTCCCTCCCTCCCTCCCTTCCCTTTTCTCTTTTTCCTTCATTCCCCTCCAATAATTTTGCTCAGAAGCAATTGGAGGAAATAGTCTGACATGTATGGAAAAGTTCGGGAAGATAACGTCGTTTCTAAGGAAATTTCATCCATTATAGAAATGTAATTCTCCACTGACATTAATCAGATAGATAAAGAAATCCTACCTCTGTCATTGGGACTTAGTGGCACAGCTCTCCACTCACTAGGAAAATTATGGAAAAGAAAGAATTGGCAAACATTTGTAGAATTTCCCAACTGGAATAAAGGGATTCTGATATTTTATCATTTACCACTAACAGAAGAGCAAGAAAGACGAAGCCAGCAGCCCCTGTAGTGTTTTTTCCATCCATATGTTTATGATGATGAAGAGTAATATTTGAAAAATTGTTTAATTTTCACATCATTTCACATTTCACGCACATAATTAAATGTACAAAAGTTCTGAGTGGATAATAACTTTGCAAAGACAGGCCAGATGCCAGAGATCTGTCTTACAAACAGCTAAATGCCAGAGTGAAAATGGCACTCCTGATCTGTATACAAATGCAAAATTCAGTGAAGGTCACACTGAATTTACTGAAATGTCACATGCTTTATGCCAATAATGGGATTGAAATATTTATCAAGGTATTTATTTTTTAAATGGTATGACATTTGCTGCACATTCTTTTTCCACAAAAAGATTTTTTTTAATGTTGCATTCAGTTTTTTGAATCTTAACTTCCAGTGGCTTATATCATTGTAGCTGAAGTAATTAAACTTGGATGTGTTTTTTAAAAAATCTGTTTATATGCAAAACTAAAAGATATTGAACCTGTAGCCCTCCAGAGAATGCCAAACTACAATCACCAGTATTACTCTCCCCCTGGACCTGCTGGCTAATCAACATGTACAATATATTTTGCAGTCAGAATGTTCTAATTCCTCAGAATAACGGTTCCGAATTTAATGGAAATGGACCATCCTGCAAATCAGCTATTCCAAAGTCAAAATATTATAAAGCAAAACATTTTGCAGACCTCTGTTAATTGGAGCAGCTGGAAGTTGCAATGTCAGGGAATTGTGCAGCAGGTGTTCAAATGAAGTCATATGACATGTACGTGTAGTTTTATATAAATATATTTTACATCAACATATGCAACAAACTAGATAGGTAAACAGGAGCATCATGAGGTAAATCACAGAGCATACAGGGCACACCGAAGAAAAAGGACAGGAAAAAGGAGAAACTCCCCCTCCACACCCACAGCTACCAATCACAGTGCAGATTGCCTCATGCAATCAACTATAACTGTATGTTCTGGCTCACTACTGAAACCCACTGCTCCAGCTACAAAATTTAAATATCTTAACATGCAATTCGGCAGCTTCTAAAAAGACACAGGTTCACTGTACCTGGAGAAGCAAGTGCTAAATTCAAAAATAATTCTAGTTTTTTCAGATCTTCAAGTCTCAAAGACAATTCTTCAGTCAGATGTGTATAGCTATTTTCATCCTCAGTGCAACTATTTCTCAATTGGATAGATGAGATTCATATTCCATTCCTTAGAACAACCATCAATTAGTGTAACTTAGTCTGACCACAATAGCCAGGCCATGCAAAGCTCAAAGGGGAAGAACTATTATCTTTAAAAAAAAATGCCAGAGTGTTAGAATAATACAGTGGTCTAAAATTGGGAACAAAGATATTTCAGTTCTGGTGATATTCTCTTGGATGTGGAGTAAACACAGGGTTATTAATGTTTCTCTCCAGAAGCATCCAAGAGAACGTTGATGTATCTATGTACCCTAGAGAATCCCCCCAAAATATAACATCACATAGAAACTCTGCTATTCAGAGGTCTCTAAAATCTATATGAATCTTGTCTCCTGTAGATCTGCCAAACAACTTTCTTCTTTCTTTGTCTGTTTTTTGAAATAGGAGGATGTTATTCAGAAGGAAGGACACGTACGATGGGGTGAAGGATTTGTGCTGGTGTATGACATCACAGATAGAGGCAGCTTTGAAGAAGTCCTTCCCCTAAAGAACTTGTTGGATGAAGTCAAAAAACCCAAGAACGTTACTTTGATCCTAGTGGGGAACAAAGCAGACTTGGACCACTCCAGGCAGGTCAGCACTGAAGAAGGGGAGAAGCTGGCCACGGAACTAGCTTGTGCCTTTTATGAATGCTCTGCATGTACAGGAGAAGGCAACATTATGGAAGCTTTTTATGAGCTTTGCCGGGAAGTGCGACGTCGCAAAATGGTTCAAGGCAAGACTCGGAGGCGAAGTTCCACTACTCATGTGAAACAAGCAATTAACAAGATGCTTACCAAAATTAGCAGCTAAGATATCTTCTTTTTTTCCTTTCAAAAGAAGTACATTTTGCAGGAAGGAACAGAAGGCTTAACTGTGTTTGTCAATAGGATGGTCAAAGCTTTGCGTTATTATTATACAATCACCTTGTTATTCTTGAAGTTAAGAGATGCAAAAAAAAAAAAAGTTTCAGGAATGGTAACACGTGCTCTTCTCCAATTTTGTTGGTCACCACATCATATCTTCAAAAAAAGATATGTCAGAGATGTGTCAGAATGGATTCAGGAATTTACCCATCTCAGATGGTTTTGCATGCTCACATGTGGCTAATACATGGTGGCTTATCATTGTCTAAGAGTAGACTATCAAAGCTTTATGGGGTGCAATAGCTGACTAACTCTGGTAAGTGCACTACCACATTCACTTCATGAATGTGGGCATGAAACATCCAAAGAAAGCTGCCACACAACTTCATCTAGTTCAAACATCCAGGCAAGGAAAAACATGTTAATGATGGCTGTGTGAATCAGTAAATTTCAGTTTCACTTAATTTTGCCTTTTTTAAAACCTTACATTCATTTCCTTCTACACCTGCATTAATTTGCAATTTTAAAGAAAATTTTTGCATCATTTCAGGCACATTTTTGTAGAAAGTTTCCTTGATAGATATAATTTTAGATGGCATTTATACAATTTCTGTGCAAGCGATTTTTTTTTCCAGTGTGATTTTTTTTTTAAAAAAAAATCATCTGATATTATAAATACTTGACATGTGCTTTTCAGTTGCAAACTATAGTATATTTGTAAGAATGCATTTGGGGAAGTATGAATTACATAAGTGCCATCACTGTTTAGATTACTGTTAAAAAACTGAACATAAGTCCCAATGAAGGCAATATTCTTTTGCTAGGCCTGTCTTCTCATTCTGCACATGTTTCAAAAAAATCCTAAAATATAAATATATGTATGAAAATGAAATTATGCTTTATCTAGCAATTTTTCTCCAAAAGGAAAATTTAACCAACTGGATTTTTTCAACAGTTTTGTGTACTTTATGATTCTCCCTACTAAGATCCTGGCCGAGTTCACATGGCACATATCCTTGGTTAACTTAACTATGGATTCACTAATTCCTAGAACTTGAAAGGGGTCATTGATGTCATTGGGCCTATTTTACCTTATCCAAATGAAAGTATGATGGCTTAACGTTCTGCTTCAACACATTGGAAAAAAAATCTCACTGTCTCTGTGGACAAGTATAAATTTAATTTGCTTTATTAATCCACTTTTCTGGGGTTGCTTGATGTTAAACCACAAACTACACTGCCTCAGAATTGCTAGCCTAACATCTGCTGAAGTAGATCACAGTCCAATGTGCTGTGTACATTCAACTGCATTCTAAGTGAATTCTAGTCAAGGTACAAAATCTGTTTCACAGAACTGCATTTTCATTGGCTCTTCAAATCTTTCTTTATCCATAAAAGTCCATTGGTTTCCCTCTGGCTGTTTTTTTCCCCCTGCCTCATTCCAGTGAAGCTTGCAAGATTGCCATAAGCTTGCAAGAGGTAACTGATTGGAAAGCAATTTTGAAATGTTGTAGGGAAAAATGCAAGTGCTTTTAATGATTTGTGGGTTTCTTATAGTCAGATCTCCTTGTATGCTGCACCAAAAGGGAAAGATTTCTATTCCTCCTTTGGCCTCTTCCTTTTTTGCTCATTCTTGTGTTTCTAAATGATGTGACACAAGGGTACTGTACTGTAAAAGAAAAAAAATAAGAGTTGTAGATGCTTTTGGGGGGGGTTGAGGATTCAGACAGTACCAGATGAGTGACATTTGAACCAATTCCAAGTAAATACAATCCATTATCTTTCATTGATTAGGCATCACATGAATTGTGGCAGGCAGCCAAACGGGAAATGACTTGGAAACCCCTGTTATCTTTCATTTGTGCTGTAATGATTATTCTCCATGTTATTTTTCTTTTATTGGTTTTGGGGATGAGGGCTAATGAGCAAGCGCTCGTTTCTTGAAAGTCTTTGCTTTGGTGGGAAGGGAAGCTAGGCATTCCTCGCAGAAAAATGTGAAGGCTTTGAGATTTACTTAAGCTTTGAACAATGCATCTTTAAAGGAAAACATTTGTAAACTAGAGGGCTTGAACAGAACCAAAGTTCTTGGGCATTTGGCATAGCTGACTTTATTTTTCCTTTAAAATGTTAATCTATAATAAAAGTGTGATTTTAAAAATCGCTGGACTTTGGAATGATGTTTCCACCTTTTAAGATTGCTATGGGAAATCAATTGGAGATGAGACCACATTTAATCTTACGGAGCAAGTCAAAAGCAGCTGTAGCCCAAAAAAGGGGGCTGGGAAAGTTGGAGAAACAGCTAATAGGCTAGGGACCAAACCCCCCAAAGCTGCTTACAACCTGGATTCAAAGTTCCAATGAGCACATGCACACTGATAAAGGAGAATATTTGTAGCTCTGGGTTGAAATGAAGGGTCCTTGGTTCGCTCGGAGCTGTATTATTTTCTTGCAGACATTTCTAGGTAACATCATCAGTGCGAGTAAAGGAATGAGGTTTGCTCTCCAATAGAACATAAACTAAGAGCAAACCCAACTCCTTGCCAGCACTGATAATGCTACCTAGTTTAGGTAAAAAAGCATCTGCAAGAAAACAACCAACCTCAGAGAGCACAAAAGACCCTTCACATACACACTCCTCTGCATTTACATAACCATAACTTGGGTGCTCCATAACCAGCCTTACTTATAAAATAAAAATGTTTTGCTCATCAGCCTGCATACAGGTAGTCCTCAACTTACAACCACAATTGAGCCCAAAATTTCCACTGCTAAGTGGGGCAGTTCTCAGCCACATATTGACAGAAGTTACAGATTCTCTCATCCTGTGCAATAAGAATTAGTATAAAAAAATACTATTACCATTTAAATGCCACCATTTAAAGTTGTTAAGGGAGAAGGTTGCTTCTGAGTCATAAGTTTATATAGTTCTTATTCTGTGCAGCTATCTCACGCAGGTATGGAATATGCCAATGCTACACAATGCCCCCCTTTCATACCTCTAAGCAACATTTCAATACAAATATAAAGGGAGCACAGTTTCCATCCTATTGAACTTTGTTTTTGACACTTGAACCACCCACCACCATGTTCTGCAGGTATCCTCTTTATGCTGCAGGAATAGATGATCTTTTGAGGCTCATAGCACTTATTGGGATTCTGCAAATATATTGTCCTCTCATCAAATTGTGAGCTTAAATATTTATAAAATAGGATTTGGCCAACAAGATATTCCTTTATTTTTAAAAATGCATTAGGTTGCTTCTCAGCTCTCCTCCTACCTACTGACTACCTAGCTTTTCATTACACCAGCGTAGCAGTTTATTTAGCTTGCTTTTGGAAGGAGCTAAGGACAGCCCACCAGCTTTTGTTATGTTCTAAAGTTGCCAATATGGACCCAGGGGTCTTCTCATAAATGGATGCAGTTGAAGGCTGGCAATTTGCTTTGCCCACTTCAGCTAAAAGATAGAAACTGAAATAATTGGTTCCTTCCCAAAGAAGAATAAGCATTTGCATGGGCATCCCAGAGTTTTTAAATCCTAGAGATTTAAAATCCAAAATATAATTCATACTGCCAACTTCAATTTATTTATTCAGTTGATTAATTCCTTAAGATTGCAGGTCAAAAGACATGCTGTTCCACTGCTGTAAGGAAAAATAACTTTCAAATGCATAACTAATCATGTAGGAGGTAGCATTAGGACAAATCAGTTGTTGCAGCTCTGATTATTATTTAGGTGACAACCGTTCCATGGTGTACTCAGCATTAATCTTCAAAATCTAAATAACCAAGAAATTGAATGCTCTAATGGAATCCAAACTTGGATGCCATAAACTGTATGTTGTGTTACAGATCTTAACTGTTTATAACCAACCTTAACAATAATATTTGTGTTTCTTGGGGGCCTGATAGTCATGTGGTTTATATTTCTTGTAATTGGCTTTCTGGGCACATTGTAAGCAACAATGTCATTACAATTAAGCCAGTGTTTATGACCAATCATTTGGGAGGTAAGCAACTGAATATTTTTGATTCTTGGTGCGCACAACAGTTGGACAGCTGCAGTGATTTATACACACTTCCAATCAAAAGATTATTTCAATCAGCTTAGCACAAAATGGCTAACACAATACTTCTGTTCAATCTAAAAAGCTATACATTTTACTTTGAAAAGTATTTCATTAGCAGTAGGCTTCATTTGGAGACTTCATCCCAAAGTTCACCGTGGAAGCCTAGTAAAGTTCCTCGCCACGCTGAGGGGTCTTATGACAGCATGCCTCCTTGTCTATGATAGCAAATCATCTGACTGTGGAAATCAGGCAAAGCCAGAATGCATCCCTTTGAGAAGGTTTATTGTGTGGGGAGACCCAAGGGTTGAAAAGAAAGCTATTCATTCTGGTGCCTTCATGCTTTCAATGTTTGAGGTTATAATACACACAAAGGATTACAAACACTTGCCCATCCTGGGGAAGTATGCTGCCTCTACTTACTTTTTTTCCCAGAAAAAAAATCTCTCTGCCAATGGTTTACTCAGGAGGAGTAAACTTTTCCTGGTTCTTTAAGAATTCTAAATGTTGTTATAGTGCACACACATAATACATGTCAAAGACCTACAAGTTGAAAAGATACAAGTCAGGAGAACTAGATCCTGAAAAAGGTGATCAAAGTTAGATTCTCTCACTGGCCAAGATCGTTGTCTCTCTTATATGCATTCACATTACACAGTCACACAGCCCAAATCTCAGTCCATAACCTAAAACAGAAACTATATCAGAACTAGATTTCCTAATGTGTTATTACTATCCAAATCAACCAACCCAATCATTGTTCACTGAAGCTTTGGCTTTACCTGGCCTTTAGCCCTCCTGGAGAAAAAAAAAACACAAATGACAAGTGACTGTGGCATAAGTAAAGGACTACATGTAATTAACTCTCCAGGATCTGCACAGGCATATCACTCAAAGGA